TTATGTTACGTTGTCATCTCGGGGGAGGGGTCAGGTACCTTTTAAATAATTCTCCAATATATTCCAATTATGTGGCAAGTACCGACGCCTTCCTGTTGCTTCTGCCTCTTTCTATACATGTGAAAGCAAAAACAAAACTAAACCACAATGATCCGCAAACTAAAATGCCATGGAATTCTTTGTAATCCCATGTAGTCCTCCATTTCACTGTAAACTCGACCATGCGAAGTAGAATATGGGGGTCTTTAAAATTAATTGTAGGGTGGTTGACCTCTCCCATACTTGCCGTTGATTTTCCATTTGCTTGCCTGACGTCTACTTGATTTTCCATTCGCTTGCTTGCCCTTATGTTACGTTGTCATCTCGGGGGAGGGGTCAGGTACCTTTTAAATAATTCTCCAATATATTCCAATTGTGTGGCAAGTACCGACGCCTTCCTGTTGCTTCTGCCTCTTTCTATACATGTGCAAGCAAAAACAAAACTAAACCACTACAGCATCGGTTATCTTTTTTGGGCTTGTCTCAACCTTTCTTGATATTTCTTCCTCAGCAACTCAAGCTCCATGATGTCAGAAGCCTGATTGTGTTCCATTGGTTGTCTCTTCTTCGGAAGCCTGGACATCGCGCGACTGATGTCGCGGGGTGTGTGTTAGATTCCGTCTGTCGGAAAAAGCTTTCCGTGAGAATTTCCGACAGCTCGGTTGTCCGACTCAGTTCCCCCCCCGGGATTGATCCACAAATTAATTGGAGCACATGGACACGCTCGTAACCAAAACTGTTCTGGAGCCAAAAAATTCCAAGCTACCGTCTGACACGTCTAGGAATAGTTTTTTTCGACTACGTCCCCCCACCTCAAAATAATAAAAAAATTATTTTGCTGGTGGTCCCTCCTACGGTCCCTAGATCGGGACGGGTGATACCAAATTTATAGCTATATAACATGATGCAAAGCAAATACAAGCTCGTCCAATGGGTTTGAATCGAAGCCGCCCATACAGTGAATGCACATTGAGGCCCTTCAAGTACCAGACCATGCACTTTCATAGCGTTTGTGAAGGAGGTGAAACCTGGTGCGGAGCACCCAACAGAGCCGGAGGAATTCCTTCCCCCTCAGTATGAGGTGCTTGTGCGTTGAGGGGGTTGTTTGGACGGGCCTAATGGCGATAGCCTCCACCTGTAGCTTCTAGCTACTAGAAAGCTGTATTACTAAGAAGCTTCAAAGACATAGTTACTAGTAGCGATGGCCTCGCCTAGTACAGTAGCTTCTTGTTCCTAGTAGCATGAGGTGCTTGCGCGTTGAGGGGGTCGTTTGGATGGGTCAAGATTGGGTGCCTTTGCCGCCTCAAGTCCAGATGTGGCCGTCATACCGAACACCCCGTTGGTACTTCATGCCTTCAGCGCATTTACCCGGATTGCAGCTTCAACATGCTTCAACCACTGCATTCCCTCAGGTTTGTGCCTTTGAAGGAGTTTTACGAGATGCAAGACCAGGAGATCGGTTCGCCGCTCAACTATCCAACTATCAGTTCGTTTCGCACAAAAGTCCTCATATCTTAGCTGGTGAAAAGATGTGTCCAGTAATCTGGTATTCATGACAAACGAAAGAAGCACCTAGCATTCCTTTCTGGATGTGCTTCTCGGAAAATAAATAAGTTGACGCATCGCAAGGGTCCCTTTCCACACGGAAGATGGTTGATGAGTCACTTCGGGCTTCGGCTTCGAGAACAACACTCCATTTGGTTCTCCACAAGATTGAAAAGCTCAGTATTATTCTACTTGATTGGCTCACTCAGGTAGTAGTTGCTTCACACCCGATAGATGTGTTGTGTCTCTTTTTCCGAATGGAGGAGACCAGAGATCGCACGGCGGCCCAGATCTAACCAGGATCAAGCAGCGAACCTTGTGCCGAGAGGGACCAAATGCGCTGTCTCAAAATCCGGGGGGAAGTATATATATATATTACTATTATTATTGTTGTTTTAAATAGCCCATTGCAATTTGTTTTATCAATTTTGTTCAACCCGGCCCAACCCTTTCTTGTTAGCCCTAGGATGTGTCAGTTTAACCCAGGGTTGCAACAAAGAGGTATACTCAGGGCTAATGACATAGGAATTTGCTGGGCTTAGTGGCATAGGAGTTGCGGGCCATAGCATACACAGCAGGATGACATAGGAGCTGTGGACGTTCTACCAGTACATGACTCAAAAGATTATAACAAAGCACTGTTCCCAAGGAGAGAATATGACTGTTTCAAGCTTCATGACTTAGGCGCGCTCCCATAGTTTTTCCCACTGCCTGGGCTATGTCATATAATTTCTTGCCACTCAAGTTCTTCTTCTCAAACAGATCTATGGCTTATTATGGCTTCTTGTCATGGGGCCATTTGGACGTCCATAAAGTTCTAAACTCTGAAGTCATGCATGCGTCTGTCGAACTTTGGTCAAGATCGTGGGTGTATGGTGGCAGGCTGATGACATAGGGAGTAGGGACCTTGAACTCATGACATAGGTTGTCACCCTGGAATTTTAGCAAACGGTTTCCTACCTCATCCCCTAGTTGCCACATGCTATGTTGGTGGCTACTCCTAGGTCATGTGTGGTTCAATGTCAAAAACCTCCGCAAACCATGCAACCTCAAACATTGATGTGACCGATGTGAAAACACAAATGTGCGTGCCAGGCTCATTTCTGTATGCTTTGACCTGATGAGATAGGAGCTGTGGCATATAGGCTCTTTCCTGATGACATAGGAGTGTTTTGTTTCCAACCATCATTTCACAGCTTCTATCTCATTTTCCTAGAGTATATGCTAACAGGATCAAAACTGCGTAGGTAAAGAAGACTGGACGGCTGATTCAAACGCTCTCACCAAATTGACTCAGCATTGCTTCAGTGAATCACAGCAGTGAAGGAGTTTGTGGTGAGATTCCACCGTGTGGTTTCCTCCAAGATGGCTTCTGTTTCTGATGATGGATATTGAGGTTAACTGATGGTTTATGTATGCTAAGTGATGGTTATTGAGGTTTGATCCAAGATTATCAGTCAGCTGCTAGACAGACTTCTTCAAGGGCATGTTTTGTGTTCCCATTGCCATCATTTCTGATGTCCATCCTTGTCTCGTTCGCATCATTCACTGGGCACTGTTCAACGGCCTGGCTGCGCCAAAGTCAAGGCTGGGACAAGTATTGGATGGTCTCCAGTGAAGGTCTTGCACATCCATTGGTCTATCGACATCCTGTGAGGGAGGTGCGGTCACGGCACTCATGGGAATCAAAGTGAGACATGCGGTTTGACTGTGGTTTGCAATGGGTCCAGCAGATGGTCTACAGGTGATACAAACCAGTAATTTGACATATGCAACATGTAGATACATGTAGGGCTTGTTGCAGAACGTTGCCAAGAAACTTGACAGGTGAAAGTCTGCTTCTTCGGACACGGGTAAAAACAGCAAAGCCAGGGAAAAACACAATGCAAGGAGAAGGACAATGTAAACCGCGGGAGGAAGGAAGGAAGGAAGGGAGGCAGGCAGGGATTGAAGGAGGGAGGGACAGAGGGAGGAGGGAGGGAGGGAGGGAGGGAGGGACATGTAGCAAAAGAAAGGACAACGCATTTATGGAGGGAATTGATTGGTGGATACAACAGAGTTGTGTCAATCTACAACACTTTAAGAGCAGATTTGTCCACAGCATGCACAGTTCAATAGAGCAGTAAGATGATTCAATCCTGTCGACTCAACTCTAGAGCAAATGTTTGTGGCCACTTGACTCGTATATTGTTTCCAAGCAGAGAAAAGGATCCTATACACAGGGTCACTGCAGACAACATAATGCGCCAAGTTCGGTGTTAAACAACGTCCAACCCAGGCATACCCAGGCCTTTAAAGAGTGCAAGACCCAATTAATGGTTAAGAAATACAAAGGGTTTCACGTGGATTGACTGTAGATATTACCTGAAAATAAGTTTTTGGACTGATCCCTTGTCAAGTGATTCGACTCCGACACTCTCTCCATCGTTGAACTGGACTCGGGATGGCCAAGGCGTGATTTCCTTGTTTGTTTGCGTAGGACACGAGCATGATGTTTCATTGTGGACCTCCTTTTTGTGCTGCAGTTGCAGTGGCCAGAACCTTAGACACTGTGAGAACAGACAGAATACCAGGTGTCATCAGATGATGCTACTGTCTCAGGTGTTTTCAACTCAGAGTTTGGAAGTCATCCAAACCTAGAAATCTAGATTCTGGATGATATGGATGCTGAAACGGATTGCTTTGAGAACTTGCTGGATGTTTGGTACAATTTAGAGGCAGATCAAGCCAGTTACCACCATAAATCAGGAGTTAACCCACTTTGTGTAAAGGAGGAGCTCACGAACCTTTCTTCTTCACTCCGCTCGACTCTTCTCCAAGGATTCTGATGGGGATTCATCAAAGAGGAGTCGTAGATGGGAATTTGAGTGAATCCATTATGGAGTCCCTCCACAGAAAAGACACGTGCTTGCATGAAACAAAAATCTTTTTGTTTGGGCACCTACGATGGGTTCTTTGATATACTTGCTACTCCATTGTTTTCCACAGGAGAAGGCAAAAAATAGGGGGCTCAACGCGTCGCCATTGTGTACCAGGGGTAGAGCATGGTTCACTACGACACATTTGATATGCTTGAGCACTTTTCATTGACAGAATGGCAACTCATTCAAGCTTCACTTTCAAAAAAGCAGGTGGCAGTTTGATAGGCAAGACAGTGCATGCCCCATAACTGTGTGTCTCTGGCGATTTGGTCATCCACACCTCAGCATAGAACCACTTGATTTCGTTTTATCAATCTTCGTTCCACCAGGAAAGCCGTGAAAACTGCGGTGAAATTGCTGCCCCCACATGTCGTCCAGGAGAGGCAAGTTTCGATGAGACAATGGTGATACTTGATGATCGCATTGTCAAAAGGTTCAGCAACTCCAATGTGGAATTGATTGTGGATTCTACAAGGTTCTGCTATTCAATCCTTGTTCGCGTGATGTTTCTGTGGAATTCAGAAGGACAGAGTTTTCTTTTGGTAGCAGTCACTGATAAATGTTGGGCAAAGCATGGCATAGACGTGTCAAGAGGAACACATCGCAGGAGGAGTTGACTCAGCGTCTTGACGATGCCGTAGAGAAGATTGGCATCAAGATGAGCTGGGAGGCTAGGAACTTGAAGCATGTTTCAGAGAGAGTGGAAAAAGTGATAGCGTTTCAATATGTGTCAATCTACGGTATTACATAGAATGTATTTGGACAGACTTCCTTCTCTCCATCATCTGGGACTGGCCTGTATGCGGAGATAAATGTTGTTTGTTATTCAGCTTGCGGTGGTACATTGGTCCGAGCAGGATTAAAACATTGCTTTAGTCTCACTTTTGAAGTTGCTGGGGTTCAAGAGTATACATAGTAGATTACTATGGATTGGTGACCGGTGAATATTTCAAGGTTTTTGTGAGTGCGAGTTGATTACAAGTTGCAAGCCTGTTCCACGGAATACTCAACCTGTTGCTTTGGTACTCTCACAGTCAGTACTGTTCGCTTGGTTCAACGGAATGTGATTTGCATGGTGCTCTTTTTGCAAGATCAAATAAACCGAACAAAATTTAATCGACTGCTATGTTCCGAGATGCTCCTAACAACGAATTGAATCGCAGCTGGGCTGACCTAAACACATTTCTGTGCCGAAGAGGTTAGTATGATCTCAGTTTCATTTGAAAGTGAAACACCATCTATATTGTATGTATGATTGTGTCTTCTTGAAAACTCTTGGCCGAGGGCTCAATCTTCAATTCTGTGGGTGTGCAAGCTTTGGATCCCAAGGGGTTCTTGTGAGGGATCCACGTATCCCCTATACATCCACGCATAGGTTAATGGGTCAAAACCGGAACTTGTCCGTTCGTTGGGTGGTCTTCGTGATGATGGTTAGTTTGATGTTGTTTGTTCTTGTGGTTTGGTGCTCCTCTCGCTCCTCTCGCATCCACCCACCGCGAAAAAATCCGCCGTTGGTGCGGCCTGGAAATCCTGCTGGAAGTGTTTCAGGAGGGCGACTTCGCCATCAATGATAACTTGGGAAACTGTGCGGTGCCACGGTGCGCGTGAGCTGCGGCGCTACGGCAAAATGAGAGCGCAGGTCATTGGTCCCTCAAACAGTTTGGTCATGGTGTTTTTTCCTACCTGACAAGGAGCAATAGATATCGATCTCAATCAATCTGGTGCGTTCCCATTTGGCCAGGTGGTGCTAGAGACTAAACAAAATTGACAATAGGACCATATAGGACCAATGTGTTTGTTTCTCTACAAGGATTTGTTTGACACACCCCACTTCTCCACACATCAGGAAATGCCATGAATGTCGAGCCAAGGGTTGGGACGAGATGAGGTGGTGGGTTTTGCTGTTTTTGATTTTTCCTGTCCTGCATGCAATTTCAAGTGTGTAGCTGTGTCCCTCCAAACTTGAAATGTCCCAGAGCGATTCTCATAGGCCCCAAAATGAGAGAAAGACCTGATCCAAGCATATCCAAGCGTTTAAACTTTGTAGTGCATGTGGATCCTCAGACTCTCAGTTTTTTGCTTTTTTATTACATCAGTCACAGCGGCTACCTGCCATTCTGAGAATATCTCCTCACACCTATCATGCACAGTTGGGGGTCTCACCAGGCATTACGCCCTCTGGTTTGGGGGTCCAGGTCATTACGCCTCGCCTGGCACGCAGAACTCCAAGCACAAAGCAGGGCTGAGGAGCGCTCGCGACGGGTATGGCCGGTGAGTCGGTCATGAGTGTAGCACTCGACGTGTGCCTTCTTTTCTCAAGACAAGACACGATGCCTTTTTCCAGTTATGAACATAGCTGCACTCAGGTGGGTAAATAGTTGGATGTGCTGTAAAGCCAGTTTGACCGTTAAGGGAGTTATACACTGCCGTTGAATGACCAAACTCGCTTGGGGAAGCCAGGAAGTCCTGAGAGTCTGGGTGAGATCAGGGTGGTTTATGTTGGATAAACAGTGGCGGCGAGGTCTCTTGATTTCGATGGAGATTCCTGGCGACCAGTGGAGTTCTAGCAGAACAAACTTGACTTTGGCTCTCTTGTACTTGTGGGTTTAGGGTTTTGGGTTTCGGTTTCTAGCATCAAGTCGTGATGGTTACACCATGTTATACCATCATACCTTTTCAGAGGGATGGCCCATGCTCATGGTGCTTTACCTTAGGCGGTGAGGAGCTCAGAGGATGATATGTAATACAATTAGAACTATTTGTTGAACCACCCGCCCATGCTTGAATGGTAAGTGCTTTGCATGTTTTTGGATGGCTGACGTGCCCCCCGTTGACATCATGTGTGCCACATGTGTTCCTCGAGGATTCTGCATCGCACCACTGTGGCGGGTGAAGACATACCTGCCAAGTTCGATGGGCGAGCATCGTTCCAGCTAGATGTGTAAAAGGGAGACTGCAACGAGTCATGCAAGGCGGACGCTCTTGGTCCTGATATTTCCTGATCCTGTACTTGACGATGCCTATGATGTTTATTTGGGGAGCACATGAAAGCATGCTTGTGCCGAGGATAGGCATAAACAAGTGCATGACAAATACATAATGAGTCTCAAAAAGAGATAGGCATCAACAAACAATGTATCCTGTGGTCACTCAGAACGAGCCTGGGGCCGACCTTGCCTGGTAACATCGCTGTATTTTGTCAGGAGCTACTAGTAGTGTCCTTGCTCCTAGTAGCGATGCCAGGAGCCCCTAGTAGCTTCTTGTTCCCAGTAGTAAGGCCAGGAGCCCCTTGTAGCATCCTTGCTCCTAGTAGCGATGGCAGGAGCCCCTAGTAGCTTCTTGTTCCTAGTAGTAAGGCCAGGAGCCCCTAGTAGCATCCTTGCTCCTAGTAGCGATGGCAGGAGCCCCTAGTAGCTTCTTGTTCCTAGTAGTAAGGCCAGGATCCCCTAGTAGCGTCCTTGCTCCTAGTAGCGATGCCAGGAGCCCGTAGTAGCGTCCTTGCTCCTAGTTGCGATGTCTCCCAGACCGCAGTTTCCTTCTTTTGAACCCTCACTGACTCACCCATTGTGCTGTGTATCATCGGCTGGGAATGGTGCCGTTCTTGTTGATAAAGGCACTGAAACAGTCACAACCCTAGATTTTGATTTTCGGTTGCCAAACATGGCCCAGATGTCATGATTCACTGAGTTCGGGAAACGAATCACTGAATCCTGGGCGTGATGCCGTGACTGACACCACAGCTCTCAAGCTGTACAGCGGGAAGGCCCTGTAGGACCTGCGTGGGGTCAGGCGGGATGGCAAGTGGCTTTGCATGTCCGCGTAGACGGCGTAGACGGCGTAGAACGTAGGGACCGCAGACGTTTGTTTTCTGGGGTTCCGTACTGATGTTAGACGGCATCAGTGCCATGACCGTGAGGTTTGCCTCCCTAAATAAATAGTTGGTTCCATGCATCATAGAGATATTCAGCTGTAATTATATGTCCCTTTTGGTCGTGCACTTGGCATTTCAGCACGGGTTTGACCGACCCTAGGGAATTCAGAGTGGACATGTTAGGAAGCAGTAGTTGTGTGGCGTGTGTGTGTGTTAAAGGAACTCGGTGTTAACTAGTCACAGCAACCGCCATCTCAGTGTGAAAAAAGGCGTTGGTTTGTTGTTGATATTATTGTAGTTTTGGTTCATTGCATTAGTGCTTTGAGCTTTGATAATAGCCGCAGCATGCACCCGGATAATGTGTTTTGCAAAGATGTTGTAGATGGGGAATAGGGATTCAAAAGCAGGTTGGCCCCTTTCTCGCCCACACATGTGTCGCAGGGCCATGGCGCTGGTAGAAGCTGCTGAACCTCTCACCGGAGGCGGCTCCTTGCTTGAAAGCTAAGCTAAGCCTCGCTGTTTGAAAAGCGCCGTTGCAGGAGATGGAATCCCCTTCGAGCAAAATATCAAGAACGCCACGACTGAGATCCGCAAGGGCTTCATTCGCAAAGTGCAGCTTGAACATTTACTGCCGAGAAGCTGGCCAGGTATCGCCCCTTTGAACCCGTTTGGGGGGGGGAGGGCCCAATCAATGAGTTGGATGATGATTCTCATCGAAGTCTTAGGAGTCTCGGCATGCCTCAATCTGTGATTCTTCACATATGTTGACGTATGTTCAGTGGAAATTGACAGCCGGAAGTCGCAATTCCGGGCCAACACTAAACAACTTGTTCTATTGATGTTTGCAGGCTGAACTACCTGTTTGATCGGTTTTCTTCTCTCCCAGCAAATGCTTCCCCGGCTGCCCTGGATCAAGCTGCTTGGTAGTGTGTAGCTTCCACGTGTCATGTGCCATCATGAATCGGGGCTGGCTCATCCACATTTGCTACTCAACGCTTCCAAATCTGATGTAGAGAAGCAAGTCCATGGTATTGTATCACACAATCGTTCACTGAGCAAGGCAGCTGAAAGATGCAATAGGATATAGATTGGTCACAAAAAACAATGGGCAAAATCTGGGGAGATCGCTGCAGATCGCACTCCTCCTCTCGCATTTTCGCTGCCATGTGCATCTTTGACCTTTGAGATGACAGATGGACCTCACACAGAGGGAAGAGCAGGTGCTCACTGCGGACGACACCGTTTCACACTCAGAGTTTACTTGTTTTTGTTTTTAGATGTGTATTTTTTGTATTGCTCAGTATGCTCAGTGATGCAAGCCACAGGCATTGAGTTTATGGCCTTGTTCTTAAATACTTTGAATTTGATTGAATTTGACCGTATATGATCACAACATATCACAACCGATGCATCACCAAGCTGTGAGGCGGAGTCATTGGAGCCCCAAAGGGTCCAAAGATGTCCAAAGTCCTTCCTGGGTAACAGATGTTGCACTACTTTCCTTTTCAGCTTGTTCGAACTTAATTACACGTCCTCGCATGTCATGTTCTTTTTTACCCCCATAGCTGCCATAGCATCCCATAGAATGACGCTCCATCCAGTTACTCGGTTGTTTTTCTCCTGCTTTCAAGGTTGGAAGCTTGGGCTTGGTCTTCATGTCGCTCCCACCGTTGCCACCACCTCCAATGATAGTAAAACATGTGCACGAGGGCACATGGGCAGAGAATGCCGGGTTACTTGGAGAAGATTCTGCCGTGCGAACGGAAGCCTTGACGTGGCCTGTCGAATACTGGGCAACTTTAGGGGGACCCTGTTCTTGCAACTTTGCGGTGGCCAGGGCTTGTTTCTGCCGACATTGACCGTTCTTGCCCAGCCAAATTTCTGTTAGTGCCGAAAGCCAAACCATGCCAAACCTTTGATATCCTTTGATTTTCTTTTCTGATGGGTATTATCATTCTTCGCGGACACGACGTTCCGGGCAAAAACATGCAAGATTGGTTTGATACGGCCGGCTATGGCTTGATCCCCCAGCATCACACCACAGGGCAACCGATGTGCTTCGTTCAGGTATTGGAGGGTTCGCAATCGTTCCCGATGTGTCCCGTGTCATTCTGTTAGGCTGAAACTTGCTGGTCAGCTGGTCCCTAAGTAGCCATGCTTTGCAACAGATACTTGTCCCTGAGACACAGCTGGATTACTTGCTGTCCACCGGAATACTCGCGCTTCGTGGCTGCAAGGATTGGTCCCGGTTGCGAAGTCTTAGAACTGGGTGGCCTGAAGGTTGGCAGCATGACGCGAGAGGACTCGGGACCGTGCGCGGGCCTCGTGACCGCTCGTGGGTGTCTCGACGAAACAATGGTGATGGCAGCTTGCCCGAATGGGTCACCAGGTTTAATATACCACAAGAAGACTGGTGCGGTTCAAAAAATACAAGAAGCTACTGGCTACTAGTAACTACTAGTAACAAGTGCATCGCTACTAGTAACAAGGGCATTACTACTAGTAACAAGGGCATTGCTTATGCATTGCTACTAGTAGATACTAGTAGCAAGGCGCCTTACTAGTAGGATCTATAGTAGGATAAGAGCTCCATAGAGCTCCTGCGAGCACCGGCCATTTAGCTCTTCGTCTCCTTGCCAAATGATAGAACACCATCGTGCACCGATGGCAAACTCGAATGACGAGCACCGCCAAGCACAGTTGAACACCATTCACGACAGTCGAATTGCCATGGTCAAAGTTGTAGTAACTTACAAACTAAAATAGTTTTGTCCCTCAGACCCCAGACAATGGGTTTCACTGAAATGGTTATTGAACAGGCCCTTTCCACGTCGCCCTTCGGCACCAGAATCCCCGACATATCCCGAAAAGACTTCTATCTCCTTGAGGAGTTCACACAGGCTATTAAGAGCCGGCCTTTGCGCATTCGTGTGCAGCCGCCCAACTGCGGCGCATGGAAACAGGCGACCGCATGGCACGAGTTCGAGGGGGGAAAGCGGCGTGCTTCAGTATGGGTCAGGATGAGTTGGTTCGGCTCTTTGTTGCTGTTCTTTCAAACAGGCTGCGTGTAGGTCCAGTGGAGCACGAAGGCCTTTTCTGAAAACTGAGTGGCACGTACTCGCAGCTCGACATCTATTGACAACAAGATTGTTTGGAGTAGACTGAGTAGACGACTTTGCTGACCCCTGGCCCAGGTGGCTCACTTTCAGAAAGAGACGGTGCGTCTTCAATTCAAAAAGGTCATGCTGCAAAAGGCTCTTCGAGATGAGCATGACAAGGTGCCGAGTGGGAGTTGGCTGCCTGATCCCAGCTTTCCCAGGTCCATTTTGGCAAGAGCTTGGTGCCCTCTTCTTCATCAGTTTGTCTATGTTTGTCTATACTTGTAGTTTTTGTGGCTGGATCCTGATTAATTATATTTAATTATGATCCGAGCTTTCTAGGTTGCTTCTTGAACTCCGCCTTGTTCGGTGGAAACGTGTTGACTGCTACTCGTACTCTGTGGGTTTCGACTGGATCTTGAGCTCTCGACGGTATTTTGCCTGGAAAGGTGAAGACAGAGTTGGGGATTGACATTCAAGCAGAAGAAGATCGGAAGAACAAGAACAACCAAACAAAAGCAGTTTCTTGGCGGTGTGAACAAGTTCCTGTGTACATGTGTGCCGCTCCATGAGCTAGTGGGGGGATTAGACCACATCCAATCAGTTGACAGGCTTGCTTGATTTAGCAGTGCTTCCTTCAGTGTGTTTAGATGATCATGATTGCTAGATATTGCTAGTGTATCCGCCGTAGGGTTACCTTTACCGTATCATATGCAATACTTAGATACTCTATTGCTGCAACGAGGGTTGCAGAAGCTCCTGATGATGTGCAGCTTTGATCGTGAAACAGTGAAATAGAAGCTGAACAGTTGTTCCTTTTGAGAAGCTGAACTTGGCACCAATGACGAGCCCCAGAGGATATTTCACACGCTCATTTCACACTAAAATGTCAAAAAAGTGTCGCAAGGCCATCAGCTGTGCGGACATGATGTACTCTGAGACCCTCGCACAGCTCGAGAAACATCTCACACCCTCG